AATTGAATGAGAAAAATGAAATAATACTAAGCATAATACAATATTCTAGATTTAATTATAATTAGGAAAAGTTAGTTTTGAGAGTACTTTTCATAGGCATATAGAATGAAATCTTCTGAAAAATAATATCATATAAACTCATATTATTTTCTAATATATAACTATTTTATATAAAAATCAAATTCAATGATCTTAAAAGCGAATGATAGTAGTATATGTGGAAGGGTTGTGTGACTTTTTTTGTAAACGTAAGAATTCATACAATATTGAACGATTTTGTATCATTTTTTTTAACATATGAAGTAATAAATGTATGATTCTTACAGTTTTTATTCTTACGTTTTTGAATAAATCAAGATTTAAAAATTTTCAGAATCGTAAGAAATTTACACTCAGCCCATACATAAAAGAAGCTATATATAGATGATGTCAGATATTCCGCGATTAATTAAACATTGTTTAAATCCTGAATGGAATCAATGAAGTCATAATCAAAGACCTCATAAATGAGAAAAATAAATTAGAAACTAATGATTATTTGAATTTATGAAATCAATTATTTGATTCATTCTTTCTTCAATAATTTCTATTCTTTTTGTTAAATCATCAATTTTCATTAATGAGGTGATTCTTGATTGAGGAATAGATTTCAAACTAATCACCCCTTTTATTTTTGAAATTTTGAATCCATCAACTTTAAACATTTTATTCAATTTACATGTTGTCAATTCTTCAAATAATTTTTTATTATTGCATAATAGTCATTAAATTCTTCAACAGATGAAAAAATTTTTGTTTCAGTAATTGGTTTAACAACGTTTATTTTTTGTTGAACATCTTCACTTTCATTTATTTCTTCCTCCTCTGTTTCATTTATTTTTAAAATCGGTTTCATTTATCATTAAATAAAAATTAGAATATAAGTGATGAAATATATTTTTTAATTAATATTAAATCAGAAATGGCTGCAGGATTCTTTAAAAAATTATGGGAGGGAATTAAGAAAGCTGCGGGTTGGGTTCATCAAAAGATTATTAAACCCATTGCAAACTTTTTGGCACCAGTAGCGAAAACGGCAGGAACTATCATAGGTGGAGTATTAGGTACTAAAGCAGGTAATCCGGCAATGGGAGCACAAGCAGGTAACGCAATTGGTGGAATTGCTGAAGGAATACTTAATAAAATAGGAGGTAGATAGTGGAAAAATAAATATTATTTTTATCTTAGTATCGGTTGTAGTCTTTGATAAACTTTTTCTCCTTTATTTAATATTTCTTATTGGGCGGCTTTTGGTGTTATTGATTCAGCAACGTCACTAATTACTTCTTTATTCTTAAATATCCAATTTGCTCCTTTCTTCATTGTTTCCCAAACTTTATGCGCTCCTCTTTTTACTTTATCCCACAGTTTCTTAAATATACCTGCAGCCATAGTTGATTATTTCATTAAAATTAAAAATTCATTTTCATCTTTTAATTTTGATTTTTTATTTAATAATAAATGACGACTAACTATTTAGTGCCAAACACTAAACCAATTAATGGAAATGTATTTCATTCATTCGAAAAGATAAATGAAATATTCGCGAAGAATGATGGTAGAAGATATTATAGAGAACTTGAAAGTTCATGCTATGACTCTGATACTCCATATTTTGATGATAAACAAACTCATTTAAGAATTACAAATCCAGCTCATGATGTGAACCAATTAGGTGACACATATATTAAACGCAAAGTTAAAGTAACTCTAGTTTCAAATAAAGCTTTCACATGTGATGCCGCTTTTAAATGCATGCGTTTATTCGTTGGTTACAAATCATCAAATCAAAGCTTTAAACAATTAGAAGTAGAAACTGAAAGAGGTGATGCCGGTTATCTTCAAATGGATTGTGCCCGTGAATCTTTCGCATTTGCAACATATAAACCGAAATCAGAAAGGAAAGTTAAAAAGTTTGTTCATTCGTTATATAATAATGTTCAAAAATATGATAACTCAGTATGTGGTAAATATATTGACCCTTCAGAAGTTTTCAAGAATGCAAATGAAGAAGTTGATATCACTTTTGATATGATTATTCTGGTAAATGATTTGTTAGCATTTCAGGCGTTCGATGATTATCCTAAATCATTTGGTGATATCATTCTTAAATATTATGTTTTCAGGGATACTTTAGTATTTTGTCAGGTTGACCCGTTAAGAGTTGCTGATTTACAAAATTACGTTTATGAAAAGATAACTGATGAAAATTATGAAAAGATTATGAATCATGTTTATAAATATGATCGCAAATTCCAACAAATCGGACTTCCTGCCAAATTAATTACAAGCTTAGCTGCTACATCTGCTGACGCAACAGTTGATAACGTTATTATTTCATGCACAAAGATGGAAGTTTTAGAGGATAAATGCATTACACCAGGATACGGTTTAATTGAAGAATCAGTTAAAGCAATACCACGTTTATTCAGTAAGGAAGATCCATTCATGATTCCAGCTCAACATATTGACGTTCGTTCACTAAATGGAGGTTGCATCACTCCTGAAGGTATCAGCTCAGATTTCTCATACGCTCTTCATAATGTTACAGATGTTGTGTTAACATTTCCGAAGAATGCAATGCAAAGAACGGTTTTAGAAAATCCAATGCCTTCGAGGTCTTCAGGTCACTATAGATTCCAGAAACTTCCCCGATCAAGCGATGACCACAGTGGTGACATATTCTTTACACGTATGCTTCAAGCTTCTGATTTAGATGGAGTGAATGAATGCACGGAAGAATACGAGGACTCATTAAACTAGACCACTGAATGATGATAATGGCACCCATTAGCTAGAACATGGAAAGACCAAACTTCATTCTTATGCACTATTCCAGTTCAACGTGATGGAGCGGGTATATTCTTTGATGGATTAGAAACTTTTCAACTCACAAGTTACAGTACAAGTGAAAGCTTATCCAATCATTCAGGGTGAAAATGACACTTACTGTTCAAAGGTGACAAATCCTCCTCAGGTTTGGTTTACTAGGACTACGTTTGGACATGGACACCGGATGAAGGTTTGAAATATCATCCAACAGGTACACCACCAGTATAGAAGTTCATATGATGAAATATTGATGAATAGAAATGTTTAAAATTATAAATTTATTTTTGATTAAATGGATTTAAATTCTGAAGAATTAGCAGGCGTATATAATACATACGTAGATGATATGATTAATGAAGCATTGAGTGATAATAGAAATGCTCTATCTAAGGAAAAATTAATGAAAATTCCATATTCTGAATGTTACTTAAATTCAATCACTGCAGCAATTGGTAAACAAAATAAAGGTAAAACATTAACGATATTAAAACAAATTATCATTATTGCTAACACTTCCCCCCATTCACATGTGTTAATTTATATCAACCGTTCAGGTTCACCTTCAGATGATACATTTGAATCTTTAAAGCATTTAATCAAAATTCCAATTATTTATTTATCACAAGAAGAAGCAGAAGATTATTTAAAAAACTTTTAATGTATAAAGAATTATATAATACAATCAAGAAGCAAGGATTAGAGGATAAAATTATTGATAAACAACGGGATGAATTATTTGAAACACTTTCTATTTCAAATTTTGATAGAGAATTTTTTGCATTCACTAATTTTTCTAGATGATGCAGTGAAATCAAAACTAATAACTAATGAGAAATCATATTTTAATCAGTTATTAACTCAATGTCGACACATTCAGTGTTCATTCTTTATGGCTGTTCAATATTCAAAGCATTAAGCACAAACATTAAATCAAATCTTGTCCACCCTTTTCATTTTCAGTGGGTTTTAGTCCGTCAACAGTTGAACGTTATGCTTTATCAAGTGAATTTACCAATGAGCATTAATGAACTTTACACACAATATCAACAATTAGGTGAACATGGAAAAATAATAGTTGATTTAAATAAAGGAGGTGTTAAATTTGATTAACTTTTTATAATTAATTTTTATTTTTTATTTATAATTAAACATGACAGAAATAGCAAATCTTCTACAGGTTCCATTAAAACAAGGGACAAACAAAAAGGGTGCATATATATAGAACTATGAAAGTTCCAGATGGAATGAAAGAATTAGTTCACATTGTTGCTGGTCTTCAAAAGATGTTAAACAAATGAGAAACGTTTTAACATTACCAGAAGCTCAAGCATATGCCAAACGTCATGGACCAAATTGGGAAGCACATGAAGCAGACATTACGGGTCCAAATGGAAAACCTGATGGTATAAATGAAGTTTTCGTTACTGATGGTCAAGGTAATATAAAGTCATAAATGGGTATAAATTAACTGTATCTGATTATCCTAAACGTAAAGCATATAATGAATGTTATCCTTTGCAATTTGATGAAAATGGAAAAGCTGTTAACAATACATTGGAGAAGGTGAAAATGGTCCAATATTCATACCATCTTATTCCATATTCTTATTTCAAGGAAAAATTAAATGCTGTTGAAGAGGGACCGGATGGATTACCACGATATGTTAATCAGTTTGATGGTCAATATGCAAATATTAGACCTGAAATTTCAGCTAAGAAATTCTTTAAAGTTGCTTTATTCGATCCAGTGTTCAATGAACAGAAAGAAGCAATGAAAGCAGAATTTAAACCAATTCAAGTGGCAAGAATTTCTTCATCTTCACTTTCAGAAGCGTTCAAGGAATTGATAAAGAAACCACTTTATTCTCAACAAGGTTATAACTTTGATTTAATTAAAGAAAGTGATAGACGTAAATTAGAAAAATCAGATGGTTTTAAGAATGCATGTAATGAAATGATTAAAGATATTGTAAATGATAAAATAAGACTGGAAGAAACTCAAAGCAATATCAATAACATAATTGGTGCAGTTACAAAGAAAGTATAAGCAAACAAGGATGAACCTTGGGATATTACCGTAACAACTAAATAAAACTTTAAATATATTTTTCTTTTTTTATTCAATTATAAATGAGAAGACGTTTCACTAGTCAAAAGAACACTAACGCAAAAGCAGAGATTACGGTTGGTTATAACGTAAATGATGATAAATCACGAATTATTCAAAATGTTAAAGTTAATGTTAGTCCTGAATTAACTCGTGACTTACTAAAAAAGGAGGAGGAAAATAAAGAAGATGAACCCGGTAAAGAACCTGTTGAAATTCCCACTTATCCAACATACCCCCCACCTCTTTCATCAAACATCGAGAACCCAGGAATCTACGATTCCAGTCGCAATGCGCCATATAAAATAGACATTAATTCAGAATTAATGAAAATTTACCGTGATATAATAACTGATAATTATGATTCAATAATAAATTTAATTGACCAATCTGGTTTAATTATTTTACCTTATGAATCATTAATTCACATTATCGCCATTCTTTGTGATGTTCAAGATTCAGACGTTAAGATTCAATTTTTCATAGATGATGAGGTTTCATGCTGCGGAACAGTTGCAAAAATAAATCCTATAAAGGATATTAGCACAATTAAGATATCAAAGAACGGAACAACAACTGAACTTCATTTAACATATAATGATATTTATAATAAAATAGTTGATGAATATAAAATATCACTTGAAAAATTCTTTGTTAAGGCTATTTAATATTCAAGCATTAACATTATCGAATAATAATCCTTTGAATCATAATCGATAATAATTGACCTTTCACCAGTTTCTATCGTTTGTTTTATTTCTTTTTGTTCCCCACTATCTGGATCGGTCATTGTAATTGTTTTTGTTATAGTATCAGCTTTATCTTTAACTTCAATCTTTTTTCCATCGGGATATTTAAACCAAAATTCCAAAAATTCGATATTGTCAATCTGTTCATATTTTAATCTATCAATTACATTTTTAATACCATCTGAAAATCTTATGAAATGGTCATTATATGGGTTTGATTGAAATAAATTTGAATGAAGTGAAATATACCCGATGATGAATATGACATTGACTCATATTTTCTGAAAACACTAAAATTTATAACATGAATGAATTTCTTATTCGTTGAATTTATGAATTCTTGAGGTAATCTTATTCTAGTTTTATTTATCACTGGAAAATAACGCTTTACCATATTTTTAATCGTAATAAAAATGTCAATTATCAATATTATTTCGAATAATAACTGTGAATTAAATTTAACAGTTAGCGGAATTTATAATGTTACTCTCGTTTCTGTGAGTGGTAAATTTAATCCCATTCTTTTAGACCCTTCAGATTATATATCATTTATTAAAGATGACCTTGAAAAAACGTATGATATGTATATAAATAATGTGATAACGAAATGGGATATTAACATGATTTTAAGTTATTTAAATGAATCATTTATCGTATGGTATGAAGAAAATTTTAAATCAAAACCGATAAACTTTTTGAACTTGATGAAATAAATAACCTTATTAAATTCCCGCTGAAAATTAAATTTTGTACTCCTCATTTCGTTCATTGTTGGGGATATTAAATTTTGAAAAAGATGTTGGGGATGTTTTGTATTCTGACACTGGTTCCAATTTCATTTTAATCAAATGTGATAAAGTTAATACCCCAATGAGATTTTCACATCAAACATTAGACCCTAACTCTTACCCATCAATACAAAACATTTTATCCATCAACTTAAACATATTTTCTTTATCATATCCGTTTCAATTATCCGGGAATTCATTTATTCTTCATTCAAAAGATTTATCAAATATTAAATTTAGAATAACTGACCTATTTGATTGTGATTTAGAATTTATGAATGAAATATTATGGCAATTTCAAATAGAAAAAATAGCTGATGAGATAACAGATTAAATATTTATTTTTAAATCATAATAAATGATTAAACAACAGCAACTTAAGGCGCAAAGCACCCAGGTCCCTCAGACCATTACATACGCCATATATGCATATAATTCAAAGACGGCAGAACAAACGCAAAGGTTGAAATATGGAGATTTGGAGATAGTATTGAAAAATGACCATTTCGAATTCGTTTGCAAAGGTGGTGCAGTGATATCAAATATAAAAGAAATTTTATTTATGAATTCTAAAATTAAAGGTATAACGGATGATATAACATCAATTCCACCAGAAGAACAGAGATATTACGCATTAAATGCATTTCCTAAAGTTTTGAAGATTGGAAGATTTAATTTAAATGAGGAATTCATAGAAGGTTTCCTAAATGACATAATGAAGAAAGCAGATAAGGAATGTGTTGCTGCTGCGTTAGAGAAGAAAGCGGATAAGGAATATGTTAACGAAAAAGATAATGAAATTAAAGAAATGGTTGAATGGTATCATGAATGGACATCAAAGATTTTAAAAACTAAAGCCGATACAGGATGGGTTTCAGGATGTTTAGACCTTAAAGCGGATAAGGAATATGTTGACGCTGAATTAAAGACTAAGTTAGAGAAGAAAGCGGATAAGGAATATGTTAACGATGAGTTAGAGAAGAAAGCAGATAAAACTTATGTTAATGAAGAAATAAAACAATCAGAGGTCTATTTTACTCCGCCATTTTTAAATTTTATGAAATCATCAGATAAAACCTTTGATATAGATTCTTTTGAATGGATATGTTTCGATGGAGTGACCATGTATTTATTTTATACAGATGGAGTGCTTTATTATTTTAAAACAAATGATTTTAAAAACTATGAATCATTTACTCCATCTGTTTTGAATCCTGATACACGAAAGCCAATCATTAATCCAATAATTTTATATGTTGAATATAATAACGGTAAATTTATGGGAATGATAACGGTTGAAGATGATTTTTGCCCTTGTTATTCATTCGATTGTATCCAATGGTTCAAATGTAATTTAAATCAAGATGCTAAATTTAAATATCCAAATAATCCTATTAGATGTGTTAATAATAAATGGGTACTAATTTATGAAGTCAATCAAATTTTCATTAGTGAGGATGGGATAAATTATTATATGTTTAGTATGATGTCATCAGATTTGAAAATTGATTATACAAGTAAGTGGTATTACATTAACAACATGTATTTTATCCTACAAAATGATAAAATTTATAGATCATCTTCAATATCACAAGGTCAATTTGAACAAATTTTTCAAGCTGATGGAGACATTGAAGCTTTATGTTATGGATCAAATGTTTATGTTCTCGTTTCAGGTGAAATGGTCTATTCATATCCTGTAAGTTATAACAGACATATTTATTTATCACAGGATTTATCAAATTGGGAATTGGTTTATTCATTCACTCCAAAATTTACTCAAAATTATAGATTTACAAATTTATTTTATATTGATGGGTATTTCATTGCTTTAGGATGTGGTGATTTAGTAAATATCAGTAGTGATGGAAGAAACTGGTCTGAAATCACAAAATTTCAAGATGTTAGAAAAGCAATTTTCAAAAATAATACGTTAATATTGATAACAAGACCAGTTTTAAATACTCACCCAAATTCAATATTATATAATAAATTCAATATTCATAATGGATTAAATACAATTCTTGAGATGATTTACCCCATTGGTTCTATTTATACGTCAATGAACTCAACAAATCCTTCAAAAGTTTTAGGTTTTGGTGCGTGGGAACAAATAGTTGACAGGTTTTTGTATTGTGCAAACTCTTCAAAGGAAACCGGTGGTTCAAAGAAAATTACTGAAGCAAACCTTCCACCGCACACTCATACAGGAACTACAAACACATCAGGTAATCATAGTCACTCATTAAGAGACCATCCATTATACAACTCAGAATATTATGCTGGCAATGACGTTTTATCTCCAGATTATAACCATTCAGCAAAAAAGACTTTTCGACCAACTGAACCAGGAGGAAATCATTCACATACTTTCACAACAAATCCAACAGGCTTGGGTAAAGATTATATGCCACCATTTATGACTGTATTCGCATGGTACCGCATTTATTGAATGTGCTTGAGCCTACTTTGCAGGCTTACCGCGTTCATTGAATGAACTAAATATATTTTATGTTTGTAATTAATTAGGTAATGAAGTAATGAATGAACTGCAGAAATAAATGTTTACGTTAATGTTTACAGGTTATTCAATAATGAATTATTTTTGAAGAACTGAGGGTGCTACCATGTTACCATGTGCTACCAGGTCATTTAACTTCTTTTAAAAAGTGTGACAACATGACATTTTGACAACAACACAGGAGGAAAGCAGTTATGAATTATTTTTGAAGAACTGAGGGTGCTACCATGTTACCATGTTGACAACATGACATTATGTCAACAACACAGGAGGAAGGCAGTTATGAATTATTTTTGAAGAACTGAAGGTGCTACCATGTTACCATGTGCTACCATGTTAATTAACTTCTTTTAAAAATAGTGACAACATGACATTTTGACAACAACACAGGAGGAAAGCAGTTATGAATTATTTTTGAAGAACTGAGGGTGCTACCATGTTACCATGTTGACAACATGACATTATGTCAACAACACAGGAGGAAGGCAGTTATGAATTATTTTTGAAGAACTGAAGGTGCTACCATGTTACCATGTGCTACCATGTTAATTAACTTCTTTTAAAAATAGTGACAACATGACATTTTGACAACAACACAGGAGGAAAGCAGTTATGAATTATTTTGAAGAACTGAGGGTGCTACCATGTTACCATGTTGACAACATGACATTATGTCAACAACACAGGAGGAAGGCAGTTATGAATTATTTTTGAAGAACTGAAGGTGCTACCATGTTACCGGGTGCTACCGGGTCATTTAACTTCTTTTAAAAATAGTGACAACATGACATTTTGACAACAACACAGGAGGAAGGCAAAAATAAATTCCAATCATACTTTATAAAGCATCATTTACAGGTATTTCATCGTCAGTAAATGATTCCTCATTATCGTTTGGTTCAATTTGTTTATATAATCCTTTCATTTCTTCTTTCAAAACATAACACCATGTTTGTTTACCGTCTATTCTTCTATGTTTCCTATCACATTTATCCTTAATACTCATTTGAAAGTTTTTGTCTTTCATGTCTGATGGTTTGCAGAATAGAGCATTTTCACACGTCATACCTGCACACAATTCATCATAATGTGTATTTATCCATACATCTAAAGGATTTGATGATAATTCTATTAAATCTTGTTTGGCTTCAGTCATCGGTATGATTCGTACATTAAATGATGAAAGGTCATATTGCATAAAATACGTCAGTAAATTATCATAAAATTCCTTAGTGCATGAATCCATTAAATTCTTGAAGTAATCAAATTGACCCTTGAATTTACCATTAACCCTTAAAACTACGTATCTTCTGTCTCCAACATCAATTTTGACAGGGTAGACGTTGTTAGTTACGAAAATGAAGTTTGCAACATTCTGAGCAGTTCTTCTGGGTTGATTCTTTTCATTAATTCTAATCTCATTATCCGTTATAATTGATTTCAAAGCGTTGAAGTTTGCGAGTCTGTCTTCACCTACATTCTTGAGTTCATTAAGTACAAGAAACATTTTATTCTCAACTACTGAATTGAAATTACCGTTAGCTCACTTATTTCAGTAATGTTTTTACATGAATAACCTGCGAGAAGTTCAGAAATAATGTCTGTAAATCTGTTTTTACCTGTTCCCTGAAGTCCTTTCAAAATAATTGCTGTTTCATTCTTGATTCCAGGATGTTGAATCATTGATGCAATCCAGCCGAGTAGGTATTTATACACTTCATCGTTATTATCACAAATGGCTTCTTTAATGAAATCCATAAACATCTCAATTTTTGAGTAATCAGGCTTTTCAAGAATGTTGTATTTATAACCCTGAAACGTTGAGAAAACATCTGGGGAATCAGATTTAAAGCAAACACCCTTAACGGTTAATGAAGACAATTGATTTAATAGTACGTCCCATGCTGTTATTGTTTTACCTTCTTCTTTAAATAATTTAATCATTTTGAGTGACTCTTTCATGTTTGATTGAAGAACGAATGATATTTGATTCATTTTGTCGTGTATGTTGTAATCTTTCTGAATGAAGTATTTGTTTCCACAATCTACAAAACGGATTACACGTGATAAATCCTTAATTACTTCAGAACTGTTTTTATACTGATGATTTTCAGCCTTGCGTCTAATATCTGTTATCAAAAATGAATCATCAAGTTTGATATCAAATGTTATTTTTGGCTTACGTAATAAAGGTAAAACATATTCATCATAATATTCCTTTTGGTATAGTTTTAGAATCTTCACTAAAACAAATGGAGAAGTCATTAAATGTGCATATCTATCACGTGCTTTTTCAAAATTACTTTTTGCATTTTCTGTTAAACTCCAGAAGTTATAAACGTTATCGTATGCTTCATTAATTAAATGATTAGGTAACGAATTAATTGCTTGAAACAGTGTGAATAATGTTATTTCTTTTCTAATTCATGTTTCCACCATCAATTATGTACTTCAAAATCACAGATGCCATCAACTATGCTCTGAGCAAGTTTATCGTCAATGTTTACATCTTTGTTTTCATTCATGATAGTCTTTATTTCTTCATTCTTCTGTTCAACTCTTACCTTAATATTCAAATCATTTAATATATCATTCACTGTTCTGGTTAATGTTGAATCATAACTTCCACGAATGAATGAGTATGTATTGATTGGTTCTGTTGCATTCTTGCGAACTCTTGAATCAGCCATAACTACTAAAGAACGCTTTGAATCATCAATAGAAGTCATTATATCAATATCATAATCATTGCAGGAATAACATTTAATCATTCTGTTCGAGGTTGAATAGAAGAAATTAGTGTTGCAATAAATGTGAAGACCTCCTGAAGCGGTTTTAACGATAACATCTTTATCCGAAAGTTTTGATAAAATATCTTTTCTAACTGTTTCTTTAAGTTCATCATTGTATGATTTATTAATATCAACATCTATAATCGTTAAATTTGATATTTTATTTACTAATAAAGCCATACCAGTTTTCCTTCCTCTTCCTCCATCGTATTTGAGGTAGTTATGTAAATCAATCTTGTTTTCACCAATTCTTTCATTGAGGGCTTTTGTTTCTGCCATAACTAATTCCTCAACTAATGAATCAATAACTTTTTCATCAGAAACGATATAGTTGCTGTTGTTGTTTGTTGCTGTCATTTATATAGGAATAAAAAAATAAAAATAATTTTAAAACTAACTTTATTTTTGGACTGCATCATATTTCCAGGACTGTTGTCAAAATGTCATGTTGTCACTATTTTTAAAAGAAGTTAAATGACCTGGTAGCACATGGTAACATGGTAGCACCTTCAGTTCTTCAAAAATAATTCATAACTGCCTTCCCCTGCTGTGTTGACATAATGTCATGTTGTCAACATGGTAACATGGTAGCACCCTCAGTTCTTCAAAAATAATTCATAACTGCTTTCCTCCTGTGTTGTTGTCAAAATGTCATGTTGTCACTATTTTTAAAAGAAGTTAATTAACATGGTAGCACATGGTAACATGGTAGCACCTTCAGTTCTTCAAAAATAATTCATAACTGCCTTCCTCCTGTGTTGTTGACATAATGTCATGTTGTCAACATGGTAACATGGTAGCACCCTCAGTTCTTCAAAAATAATTCATAACTGCTTTCCTCCTGTGTTGTTGTCAAAATGTCATGTTGTCACTATTTTTAAAAGAATTTAATTAACATGGTAGCACATGGTAACATGGTAGCACCTTCAGTTCTTCAAAAATAATTCATAACTGCCTTCCCCTGCTGTGTTGACATAATGTCATGAGGTTAGATCTAACCGGCTACCCTAAAAATTATTTTTGGTGAATTCAATAAAAATAAATGGTTCATTTACTCACAATATTTTTGTATAAAACAACCCCAAGCTTTTAACTTCTTTTCTGCAGCTTCTAATGCTATCTTAGCGAGTTCATATTCTCTAAATTCTCTCTTTAAATTTTCTTGTTCCCATTTGTCTAGTTCGTATGGAGAATCTCTATAACCATAACATAACTCACGTTCATGTTCTAATTATTTTTCGCACATTTTTCCAACTTCTTCTTCAAACAAAGGTTTAGCATTCTCAACTGTATCTTCAAGTTCTTCTTCATCTAATCTCTCATGAACTTTCTTGTCTATGGAGTCCATAATATCTTTGACAT